TACTCATTATTCTTAATAACATAGTGTATTATGTACCACAGTTTGCTTATCCATTCATATGTTGATGAATATTTAGGTTGTTTCCATCTTTTTATTATTGTAAATAATACAGCAATTAACATAGGTGTGCATAAGTCTGTTTGTGTCACTCCTCTTATATCTCTAGGATATATACTTAGAAGTGTGATTGCTAAACCATAAGGTATTTCTATTTCCAGCTTTTTGAGAAAGTGCCATACTATTTTCCATAGTGGTTGTACCATTTTACAATCTCACCGGCAATGTAGAAGAGTTCCAATCCCCCTACAACCTCACCAGCTTTTTCTGGGGTTTTGTTTTTTGTTATCAGTGTCATTTTTGCAGGGCTGTGATGATATCTCATTGTAGTTGTAATTTGCATCTCTCTAATTGGGAGCACTCTGAAGGAAGGTTAGGCAATCTACTTCCGTAGTGATACTGCCTTGGAAACCCAAGGAGGGGTTGCTATGAGTTGAGTCTGACTTGAGGGCACATAACAACAACAACAACAAATGGGAGCTCTGGTGATGTAGTGCCTAAGGCATTTCACTGCTAATCAGAAGGTTGGTGGCTCAAACCCACCAGCCACTCCTTGGAAGGAAGATTGGGTAATGTACTTCCATGGAGATGCTGCCTCAGAAACCCAAGGAGGGGTCACTGGGAGTCAAATTGACTTGACGACAGTGAGTTTGATAGTTTTTTTGGTTTAATGGGTAATGATTACAAGCATATTTTCATATATTTGCATACATTTCATACATTTGATTACAAGCATATTTCATGCCTGAGCATCCTCTTTGATAAAGTGTCTGTTCATGTCCTTTGCCCATTTTTTTTTTTATTGGATTGTTTGTCTTTTTGTTGTTGAGTTGTTGAAGCTTTCTATATATTTTAGAAATTAGACCCTTATCAGATGAGCCATTGCCAAAGATTTTTTCCTGGTCTGTAGGTTCTCATTTTACTCTCTTGATAGTCTTTTGATGAGCATAAATATTTAATTTTTAAAAGGTTCCACTATCTAATTTATGTTCTGTCATTCATACATTGTGTGTGTGTGTGTGTGTGTGTGTGAGTGTGTATGTATGTATATATGTGTGTATGTATGTTGTTTATGCTGAAAATTAGGTCCCTTAGCCGTGGCCCTATGTTTTCTTCCAGGAACTTCATAATTTTAGCTTTAACATTTAGGTCTTTGATATATTTTGAGTTAGTGTTTGTGCATGATGTGAGGTATAGATCCTGTTTCATTTTTCTGCATATAGATATCCAGTTGTACTGGCACCATTTGTCAAAGAGACTGTTTCTGCCCCCATTGAATAGACTTTCACCCTTTGCTGAAGATCAGCTATATGTAGATGGATGGCTTTATTTCTGGGTTCTGAATTGTTTCATTGGTCTATGTGTCTGTCATTGAACTAGGACAAAGATGTTTTGATTACAACAGCTGTATAGTAAGTTTTAGGAGCTCTGGTAGTGTAGTGCCTAAGGCACTTGACTGCTAACCAGAAGGCTGGTGGTTCAAACCCACGAGCCACTCCTTGGAAGGAAGGTTGGGCAATCTACTTCCATAAGTGATACCACCTCGGAAACCCAAGGAGGGGTCATTATGAGTCAGGTCTGACTCAATGGCACACAACAACAACATAGTAAGTTTTGAGATCAGGAAGTATGAGGCTTCCTACTTTATTCTTCTTCAACATTGCTGTAGTTTTTCAGGGCTTCCTTTCTTTTCATATAAAGTTAAGATTAGTTTTTCCATTTCATTGAAGAATATTGTTGAGATTTGGATCAGGATTGCATTATATCTACAGATTGCTTTTGATAGTATTGACATTTCCATAATGTAAAGTCTTCTAATCCATGAGCAAGGAATGTTTTTCCATTTATGTAGATCTCTTTAATTTCTTACAGTAGTGTTTTATAGCTTTTCTTGTGTAAGTCTTTTACATCCCTGGTTAGGTTTATACCTAGGTATTTTATCCTGTTGGGGACTATTGTAAATGGTATTGTTTTCTTAATTTCCTTTTCAGAATCCTCCTTGTTAGTGTAGAGGAACGCCACTGATTTTTGTGTATTGATCTTAAACTTACAACTTTGCTGAATCCTTCTAATAGTTCCTGTAATTTTCTTGTGGAGTGTCTGGGATTTTCTGTGTATATGACCATATCACCAGTGAATAAGGATAGTATTACTTCTTTTTCTGTTTGGATTCCCTTTATTTCTCTTTCTTGCCTTACTGCTCTAGCTAGGACTTCCAGTACAATGTTGAATAAAAAAAAACAAACCAAACTCATTCCTGTCAAGTCAGTTCTAATTCATAGTGACCCTCTTCTTGGGTTTCCAAGATGGTATCTCTATGGAAGTAGATTGCCCAGTCTTCCTTCTGTGGAGTGGCTGGTGGGTTTGAACTGCCAGCCTTCTGGTTAGCAGTCAAATGCCTTAGGCACTATACCACCAGAGCTCCTATAATGTTGAATAAGAGTGGAAATAAAGGACATCCTTGTCTGGTTCCCATTCTTAAGGGGAATGCTCTCAATCTTTCTCCATTGAGAGTAATGTTGGCTCTTGGTTTTGCCTGTTGTTGTTGTTGTTATGTGCCATCTTGTCAGACCTGACTCATAGCAACCCCTCCTTGGGTTTCCGAGGCACTATCACTATAGAAGTAGATTGCCCAACCTTCCTTCTGAGGAGTGACTGGTGGGTTTGAACTGCCAGCCTTCTGGTTAGCAGTCAAGTGCCTTAGGCACTACGCTACCAGAGCTCCTTGGTTTTGCCTATATGCCCTTAATTATGATGAGGATTTTCCCTTCCAATTTTGATGAGAGTTTTTATCAGGAAAATGGGTTGGATTTTATCAAATACTTTTTCTGCTTTGATTGAAATGATCCTTTATTTCCTTTCCTTTGTTTTACTTATGTTGATTGATTTTTTTAATGTTGAACATCCTTGCATCCCACTTGATCATGATATCAATTTTTTTTATACATATCAATATCAATATCAATCTCTCTCTCTCTCTCTCTCTATATATATATATATATAATTTTTTTTTTTGGTCTGATCTCTTCAATTTCTTCTTTTGTTATGTGTCTGTTAAAAAAATTTTCTACCTCTATTTGTGTTAGTTTAGGTTGGTAGTGTATTTCTAGAAATTTGTCTATTTCTTCTCAGTATTCTAGTTTGTTGGTGTATAATTTTTCATACTATTCTGTTATGATTTTTTTTTTCAGTAGGTTGTTTTGTAATATCACCCATCTCATTCACTATTTTGGATATTTGCATCTTCTCATTTTTCTCCATTATCTATTTGGCCAGTGGTTTGTCAATTTTATTGATCCGCTCAAAGAACCAACTTCTAGTCTTTTTCATTCTTTCTATTGTTTTTCTGCTTTCTAATTCACTTATTTCTGCTCTGATCTGAAGATGCAGTGTTTCTTTTACTGGTCCTTTTCTCTGTATTCAAGTTGATGCTTGCTATGATCTGAAAGACCCAGTATTTTGCCTTGTCATTTACTCTCTTCTCCTGGTGACTGTGAATTTCTTTTGCTGGTCCTTTTCTCTTTATTCAAGTTGATATGTGAATTTATTGCTTCAAGTTCTTTTCTGAGCACTGTGCCCCAAAGGTTTTGTATGTTGTGTTTTCATTCTCATTTGATTCTAAGAATTATTTTATTTTATTTTTCATTTCTGCTCTTACCCAGTAGTTTTTAAGTAAAATGTTATCCAGTTTCCTCATATTCAGTTTTTTTCCTTGTTTTTTCTGATACCCTAAATATACTTGAAGTGATAGTGACACACTCCATTGGGAGCCTCCATTGAGTTCCCAATCCCTGTTACATGATAATGGGCATGTTTTACTACATATCAAATGCTGTCTTGGTTTGGCTTGCCCCACTATTTTCCAGGCTTCGCATGGAAAAGAGAGAATGGTGGGAACAGAAGAGAGAATGGTTAGGCAGAAATGACAGCCAGGAGCTGCGTGTATCATTTGCTTGAGAGCTAGATGAAGACTTGCAAAATCCCACAAATCCTCAATTACAGCCTTTTATCAAGTACCTATAACTTTATTGATATACCTGAGTTTAAAAGATGATATTGCTGGGCAGATATTACCTAATCTGATCTGTTTTGATTTGTCATCTAAAAGATGAGCAGGTCAGAAGATGGAAGCAGATAGGAGCTCTTGCTTGTGGCAACCTTATGAGCTTACCTGCTCTTCTTGATTACTTTTGGGTTTGCCAAGTTTCCAAGACCTGGTCTAGCTTTGAGGATTAGTTGTGGTTAGGTAGTCTACCAGAAAAGGTCCACTTTTTTTATTCTGAATCAACAGACTGTTTGGCTGAATTGATTATTTATTTCCCCAAAGTGGAGCCTGTGTATCTTTCTCTCTCTGTGTATGTGTGTGTGTGTGTGTGTGTGTACGTGCGGACCCAACATTTGACAACTTGAGATTATAATAAGAGAGACAGGTATTATTGTTTTGTTTGTTTGTTTGTTTTGGTTGAGGGAAGGGGCAGAAGGGAAAATTAAAAAATCAAATAGAGGACAGAACATGATAGAAGACTTGGGAGAAAATGGAAAGAACCATTGTTTTGCCTTGTCACTTACTCTGTTCATTGTTCCCTTACCGTTGCCTCCTTCTGTACATCAGAGTAATAGCTCTAGAATGGTGGTGACAATCTATGCCCCTAGTTCTAGGGTACCCTTTATTGGCTAAAAATAGTCTCAAGAATATAGTTATAAACCTAGGCATTGAAAAAGAGTTTTACCACTTTATCAACAGGCCAGTTTCTCAGAAATTCTAAATACCAGGACTTGCCTGAGGAACTCTGCTTTCTGAATTCTGGTTTGCTAATGACTGAACTGTTAAATACCACATTCAAATGGAAGAAAATATCATCAAGGCCAGATAAGATAGACAGGCTCTTTGCTTTTCTCATCACTTTCATGCTCTTTCTTGTTCTGATTGATTTGTTTTGTAGATATGTCTTCACTGGGATCTATATTTTTGAAGCTTTGATAAAAATATTGGCAAGTGGTTTTATTTTGGATGAGTTTTCTTTCCTTCGAGATCCATGGAACTGGCTGGACTCCATTGTCATTGCAACAGCGTAAGAATATTAAAGATTTTTATTGGAGAGATTTGGGGTGGGAAAGGACCTCCTTTGCTTCCATGAAGGCTCTGTGTGGATCCATGGAAGTGATGAAGCATGGCCTAATAATGCTTATAGCTCTTAGTGCAGTATTGGTTAGTCCTGAATAACACCAGGCAGCCAATCGGCTAGTGGTCTCCAAGCAAAAATCTATTTCTAGGCCGACACTCAAGCTCTCATTCCCTCAGCCATTTCCTCACCAAATGCTGGCCTGTTATGAACTAGGCCTTGTACAAGATACAAAAATTGTGACAATAGGAAAGCAAAAACAAAAACCAGACAAGGTTCTCAACCCCTTTCTTAGCATCATGTTGATGCTATAACAAAAATACCACAAATGGATGACTCTAAAGAATAGAAATTTATTTTCTCACAGCTCTGGAGGCTAGAAGTTCAGATTCAGGGCATGGCCCTAAGGGAGGTCCTTCTTTGTCTATTTCAGCATCCAGTAGCTGCTGACAGTCCTTGATGTTCCTTGTCAGCTGTGTGTGTCTCTGTGTCTATTTTGCTCTTTTTATAATTCAGATGTGATTAGATTTAGGACCAACCCCACTCTGGTATGATGCAATTAACATAACAAAAGAGACTCCTGTTTCCAAAACAGGGTCATATTTACAGGTACAGGGAATAGGATTTCTACCTATTTTGGGGAAAACAAGTCAATCCCTAACACCTCTTAAGCTCACATTCCAGAGGGGAAGATGGGAGCTCTGGTGGTATAGTGCCTAAGGCATTTGACTGCTAACCAGAAGGCTGGTGGTTCAAACACACCAGCTACCCCTCGGAGGGAAGACTAGACAATCTCCTTCCATAGTGATAGCACCTCAGAAACCCAAGGAGGGGTTGCTATGAGTCGGATCCGACTCGATGGCAGTGAGTTTGGTTTGGTATCACTATATAGCATACACCCATTGCCATCAGTTAAGTGTGATACATAGTGACCTGGTGGCACAACGGTTAGGCACTTGGCTGAGAATTGAAAAGTTGGTAGTTTGAACCCACCCAATGGCTCTTTAGGAGGAAGACCTGGCAATCTGCTCCCATAAAGATTATAGCCTAGAAACTCTATGGGACCATTCTCTGTCACATCAGATTGTTGTGAGTCCAAATTGACCCAATGGCACCTAATAATAACAGCACAATTATAGTGAATGTTAGGATGTGGAATGTATATAAATTCAGAACAGGTAGGATAAACCAAGGCGTCTTAAAAGTCTCTGTCAACAAAGTCACAAAGAGTTTCTCTCATGTTTTCTTCTAGAAGATTTTTAGTTTTGGCTCTTATGTACAAATCGATGGTCTGTTTTGATTTGGTTATTGCATATGATGTGCGTTAAGGATTGAAGGTCTTCCTGAAGGAGAGGATATCAGTTTAACATCTGAAGACAAGACAGGGTCAGCAAGATAAAAAGGGAGAACAGAGTTCCAGAAAGAAGGAAGAGCATGTTTAATGATCCTGTTGCCAGTGCAACAATAATAAATCTAACATTACTTAATGTGTGCCAGATATTGTGTTATGCACTTTGCATAATATTTTCCTATTTAATATTCTCAAAAGCTCTTTGAAGTAGGTCTATTAATTTCAGCATCCAGTAGCTGCTGACAGTCCTTGGTGTTCCTTGTCTTTCAGAGTTTTGCATTTGAAGTTCAATGGCTGGGTGTTCTTGTTGTTGAGAAACAGTGCAGTGCAGCAGGTAAGAGTGTAGGCTCTGAAGTCAGATCACTGGCGTTCACTTCTAGGCTTGGCTTCCCAGTGGCTAGAAGACCATGGAGAAGTACGCTGATGCTTGGAACATGGCAGCCAGTCAGTAATGTTTGGATTGGTTTCTATTATCCATGGCTGTAGCTACAATAGCATGGAATTATTTCAAGGAATTTTCATCTAGGTCCAAGTATAAGGATTAGCTAAGAGCAGGATTCTATGCAGTCCACAGCAGTGGAGAATGTTATTGCCAGATCTTGAGATTAAGGTAAGTCTGGGAAGATGAGGCTGCAGATTTTGCCTGGATGGATGCAGGAACAGCAAGGACTGTCAGCAGCTACTGGATGTTGAAATTAATAATACCTACTTCAATGAGCTTTTGTGAATATTAAATAGGAAAACATATGTGAAGTGCATAACACAAGTACATCTTTACTTGTAGCCTTTGTGAAGATGTGCAGTGCAGCTGCAGGACTGAGCAAGCCCAAGTTCTCCCTGTGTTTGTCTTGTAGATTTGCGTCATATTATCCAAAAAACGGCATCAGCCTGTCATCCTTGCGAACCTTTCGAGTGTTCAGAGCTTTGAAAGCAATTTCAGTAGTTTCAGGTAAGTCACTGCAACTTTCAACACTGGCTCCCAGCTGGAGAAAATGTCCTTTTATGTTGAAATTTTAAAAAATATCATCATGGGAAACAAAAACACACCCCACTTCGCACATTTATTTGATTGTTCAGTGAGTATTATTGAGCACCTCATATGCCCAGGTATTGTACTGGCTGCTTGGGATATATCGGTGAACAAAAAGACCAAGATTCCTGTGCTCGTGGAGTTTATGTTCCAGGTGGAGGGTTAGGAGACAGACACTAATCAATAACTATAATAAATATAAGCAAATTATGTTTCATGTTAGCAAGTGATATATACTATGGAAAAGAAAAAGGAAAAGTAGCCAACATAAGAGTATTGGAAGTCCCAGGGGTTGGGGGAAGTAAGTTGCAATTTTCAATAGAATGGAGTGGTCAGGATAGGTGTCATTGAAAAGGTGAGAGCAGGTATATGAGAAAGAGTGTTCTGAGCGTAGGAAATAGTCCATGCAAGAGAAATAGGAAGGGTGCTGGATCAGAGGAAGCAAGGTGCCAGGTGGTTGCAGTGCGATCACAGAGGTAAGGGGAGGCTTGTAGGCAATGGGAGGACTTGGGCTTGATTCTGAGAGAAATGAGAGCCATGCAAGTGTTTTGAGTATAGGAGCTTCATGTTTTAAAAGGTTCAGCCTGGCTGTTGTATGGAGAATAGAATGTAGGGGAGCCAGGGTAGAAGGAAGAAGACCAGGTAGTGTGATGGCTGCCATGGAAAAAGTCTACTGAAATCTCCTGCTGTGGATTGCTTAGTTGACTGATGGTCCTAGCTGGATCCATACCACATTCATGCTCATGCTAAGGCTTTATTTCCCCCTCTTGGCAGGAGTACTAGTGCAGACCTATTCCCACAGGATGCCAGACTCTTGTAATAGGGAAGTTTGGCCCAGATGCTCCCCACTGACCTGGCTGAGACTCTCTTACACATGCACAGTAGTCTGAGACTTTCCTATCCAATCTCTCCTTTCCCTCTCTCTTTTCTCAGATGTCAGGTCTGCACTGCAGTCTGAAGTCTCTCCCTGCACACTCCCACTCCCTCCTCTTTACTTTTCAAAGCCCGCAACAAATCTCTTGCACATCTGTGAAAATGGTGTGGGAGTTAGTTCCTGGCCTCCTCTTTACAAGAGGGGAGGAGGATAAAGATTAACATCAACAGCCCAAGGCTGAATCCTATCAGGGGAAGTCAGACATGCTTCATGCTTCCACCTTCTACCTTTTTTGCCAATTCTGACAGTAACGGTCCCTCCCACAGCACTCTATTTCTCTGCTGGGTTTGATAATTTGTTGCAATGGCCACAGAGACCTCACAGACAATACTCACAATTATGGGGTTTATTAGGGAAGTAGGCTACAATTCAGGATCAGAAATGACTCAGGATACAGTTCTCAATCAAGACAGCATTTTCTCAGCAGTTCCTGAAGGCAGTTCTCTCTCTGGCCCTCGGCCTCTCAGCCCTTTGGCCTCTGTCCTGCTTGGGCAAGTGTTACAAAGCTCTTTTAGCTCTGCCAATAGAGGCATCACACTGCACCATAAGTCTGCTTGAAGGCGCTCAGCTTTCTTGCTCTATGGGTCCAGAAGCCCACTGCACTCTCTCCTGCTGGGTCTTTTGCCAGGTCCCCTGTTGACTGTCCTAGTCTTCTGTCCTGCTGCTATTTCTCTGCTGCTGCTTCTCACCATCCTTCACTGTCCCAGTGAAGTGCTGCAACTCTTTCTCTGTCTCCTGGGTTGAGGAGGTTCAGTGCCGGGATTTTAGTCCAAAGGATGGATCTACCCTGGCTCTTCTTTCTTTCTTTTTTTTTTTAAATTTTTTTTTATTTTAAGAGTTTGTTTTACATTCAACATTACGTGTACAGTTAGTTTCACTCCCCATTTACCATCCCCAACACTAACCCAGTCTCCTCCCCTCCCTACCCAGTAACCTTTTCCCATGTCCCTCATAGTTACGCACTCCTGTGTGTCCTGCGAATGTTGCCCCTCTGGTGCCCCATGGTCAATTGCTCCAAGGGATGCATTTCCATAGAGTATTGGGTATGTCACCCTGGGTTGAGTGGTCTGCATGTACATCTTGTTTATTATTGGGCTAAGAGCCAGCCCCTGGGAGTGAGCTTTATTCCAGGCCCAGAATGTATCCCAGGACCATAGTATTGGGGGTCTCACCAGACTCCGTCTGACCAGTAATTCTGGTCATTATTGTGTTTTTTGATTTTGTTCCATGTTTTTCCTCCCAGTCTATCCAGGATCTCCAGATTTGATCCTTTCCTGAGTGGTTGGCATTGGTAGCCAGGCACCCTCTAGTTCTTCTGGTCTCAAGGGCCATCATGTCCTAGGGCTGATTGCTTCCAAATGCCTTTTTTTTTTTTTTTTTTACACTCTTCTTTGCTTCCAATGATAGGAAACCATTAGCTGCATCTTAGATGGCCACTTGAAAGCTTTTAAGACCCTGGTTGCTACTCACCAATGTTGGATGAGGAACAAGACTTTTATGTATTTTGTTGTGCCAATTGAGTCTGGTGTCCCCCGATACTATGGTCCTGGGTCAGTAGATCCATTGGATCTCTCTCCCACAGTATCTGGCCGTCTGTGAGGGATTACTCTATGTCTGTCTTCTGTTGTTTCTGTAAGGAATGCAGTGATTTTGTATCACTGGTATCTGTGCAAGATTAGCCGACTCTGAATCTATCCTTGGTCTAGAGTATACTTCTGTTCACTAACCCCCATCTGATCTTCTCATATGTTTATGTATTTATGTATAGCCTGGTGTTTGGTGTTAATCTAATGAAGGATTGTGGATTCAATGGTTGGTATTAGCATCTGTCATCTATATATTATGTGTACAATTTGATGTCCTTCCTTTTCCTAATGCCATCACAGTGGTCCCAGACTCTTTCTATACCATCCCTTCCCTTACTCATGCCAGCGTGTGGCCCCCAACTAGCCCGAAATTAATCCCTCCCCATCCCTCCCCACCCCAGTAATTTACAAAGTGAGTTCCCTTTCTCAAGCAAACTCTTCTTTGTCTTTTTACAGTAATGGGCTCACACAGTATTTGTCTTTCTGTGATTGGACTTATTTCACTCAGCATAATGTCCTCCAGGCTCATCCATGTTGTGAGATGATTCGCATATCCTTCATTGTTCTTTAATGTAGCATAGTATTCCATTGTGTGAATGTACCATAATTTGATTATCCATTCATCCATTGATGGGCATTTAGGTTGTTTCCATCTCTTTGCTATAGTGAATTGTGCTGCAGTGAACATAGGCGTGCATGTGTCTGTTCGTGTGCTGCCTGTCACCTCTTTAGGATATATTCCTAGTAATGGAGTTGCTGGGTCAAATGGTATTTCTATTTTCAGATTTTTAAGGAAATGCCATACTGTTTGCCACAATGGTTGTACCATTTTACATCCCACAAGCAGTGCACAAGAGTTCCAATCTCTCCACAACCTCACCAGCATTTGTTATTTTCTGTCCTGTTGAACTTTGTTATTATTGCTGGGGTGAGATGATATGCCTAAGGCATTTGACTGCTAACTAGAAGGTTGGTGGTTCAAACCCACCAGCCACTCCTTGTAAGGAAGGTTGGGCAATCTACTTCTGTAGTGATACCACCTTGGAAACCCAAGGAGGGGTCGCTATGAGTCAGGTTTGACTCAACAGCATGTAACAACAACAACAACTAAAGATCGCAAGCATTTCCTCATGTATTTGTTGGCTGCCAGCATATCATCTTTAGTCAAGTGTCTGTTCAAGTCTTTTGCCCATTTTTGAATTGGGCTGTTTGTCTTTTTGGTGTTGAAATGTTGAAGTTTTCTATAGATTTTGGAGATAAGTCCTTTGTCAGATATGTCATTGTTGTTGTTGTTGTTATGTGCCGTCGAGTTGGCCCCGACTCATAGCGACCCCTCCTTGGGTTTCCGAGGCAGTATCACTACGGAAGTAGGATTGCCCAACCTTCCTTCCGGGGAGTGGCTGGTGGGTTTGAACCGTCAGCCGTCTGGTTAGCAGACAAGTGTCTTAGCCACTATGCTATGTCATAGGCAAATATTTTCTCCCAATCCATAGTTTCTCTTTTACCCTTTTGATGAAGTCTTTCAATGCTCATAAGAATTTAATTTTTAAAAGGTCCCAGTCATCTAGATTCTCTTCTACCTCCTGTGCATTCTGGGTTATGTTTGATAATCTATTTATGTTATAAATTAGGGCTCCTAAATTTCCCCCTATTTTATCTTTGATGAATTTTATAGTTTTGGGTTTTACATTTAAGTCTTTGATCCAGCTTGAGTTTGTTTTTGTGTATGGGGTGAGGTATGAGTCTTGTTTCATTTTTCTGCAAGTGGGTATCCAGTTTTGCCAGCATCATTTGTTAAAGAGGATATCTCTTCCCCATTTAATGGGTTTTGGACCTTTGTGAGAGATCAGCTGTCCATAGATGGATGGGTCTATTTCTGGACTTCTGATTCTGTTTCATTGGTCTATCATTGTACCAATACCATGCTGTTTTGACTATTGTGGCTGTATAGTAGGTTTTAAGATCTGGGAGTGTGAGACCTTCCACTTTGTTCTTCTTCTTCAGAGTGCTCTGCTTATCCAAGGTCTCTTTCCTTTCCCTATGAAGTTAATAATGGGTTTTTCCATGTGCTTAAAAATTTTGTTGGTATCTGGATCAGGATTGCATTAAATGTGTATATTGCTTTACGTAGTATGGACATTTTCATAATATTGAGTCTATCTATCCATGAACAAGGCAGGTTCTTCCATTTATCAAGAGCCCTTGTTGTCTCTTGTAGCAGTGTTTTATAGTTTTCTTTGTATAGGTCTTTTGTGTCTCTGGTATGTTCCTAGATGTTTTATCTTTCTAGTAGCTATTGTAAATTGTATTATTTCCCTTATTATCTTTATCAGAGGTCTCTGTTGGTGTAGAGGAATCCAACTTATTTTTGTATGTTGACCTTGTATCCTGCCACTTTG